TCTAAAATTACTTTTTAAAAAAAGAATAGAATTCAACAGTAACTAATGAGATTTTGCCAAACTCTTTGTCAAACTGTATGCATGTGACTTCTTCAGTTTTAAATAGGCTACTCTTTAGGTATTCATGTACTTTTCTCTTATCAGTCATGGCAACAGAGGGTGCGGAAGTCACGAGTGAAGATGCTCCAACGCCTGGGAAGGTCAGCACCAGGTTTGACCTGGAGAAGGAAACTGAACTTCGGTTCGAGGTGGAGGCAGGAGAGGCAGCAGAGCAAGTTGAGCTGGAGCTCCTCACGGGAATGGCTGAGGTGTTTGGTTCAGAGCTGAACCGCAGCAAGAAGTACACATTTGGACCTGGATCTAAGATTGCAGTTTTCACCTGGCAAGGCTGCAGTGTCAACCTTTATGGCAAACCAGAGGTGAGCACCAGGGAAAGGGTCTAAAAGAATATTGGTTGGTCTTTGGGATCAGAAATTATGCATGATGTTTTTATTTGCATGTAGAGCAGGCAAATAAAAACTGATAACATCATATCACCTGAGACAGATGTTTGTACCAGATCTGTACAAGGCCTACGTTAGAGTGAGAAAGTTTCCATGCGGGTTCTGTTCTGATACCTCAGTGTTTAAATTTCACCAATGACGTATCGTATCGACACCTGCGTGACTCTGTGTTTGACATTTAATCAATGAGAGGCTCAAATGACCCAGCTTTTCTCCCTCATCACCACAGGTGGCTTATGTGTCCAAGGACACTCCCATGCTGCTCTACCTGAACACACACGCTGCCCTGGAACAGATGAGGAAACAAGCAGAGCGGGACAATGAGAGGGGACCGAGGGTGGGTTTGATTAAACTGTACTGTATTCAGAGGCCTTAACGAAAGATTTTAAAAGTCCAGTAAATGTATTTTACATTGACATTGAATAATAAAAGCATAAATGTATTTTACATTGACATTGAATAATAAAACCATCCCTCAGGTGATGGTGGTTGGACCCACAGATGTGGGGAAGTCAACAGTTTGCCGTCTGCTGTTAAGCTATGCTGTGAGAGTGGGCAGGAGGCCAACACTAGTGGAACTGGATGTTGGGCAGAGTGGGGTAAGATGAGTTATCATAAAGAATATTGACACAGGCTGTGTTACATCAAAATGTGCACCACTAGCATGCATTGTATTTGTTTATTGGATAGTTATAATGTTCCACAGGCTTTAAAGGTCCAGTTTGTCAGTTTTGCCAGTTTGTTTATATTTAAAGAGAGACGGGGGCCTATCTTTGGAGGCCGCCATGTTTTTTACTGTCGTCCAAACTGGACAAACTAAAACTTTTTGAGTTTGAACTGAAGTTCACCACAGGTTCTCTTTCATGTTTGGAAGTGGAGGGTGAAATGAGGAGTATTCAGCTGCAACATGCAACTTCAACTCTAGTTATCACTAAATTCTACACACTGAACCTTCAAGGGAATATTCATTATACAGATCTGATCAATATGAGGTATAAGGAAAATGTTGCTCCCTCAGGTGTCCGTGCCTGGGACAGTGTCCGCACTGTGCATCGAGCGTCCGGCAGACATAGAGGAGGGTTTCTCAGTCCAGGCTCCTTTGGTTTACCACTTTGGCTCAACTACCCCAGGGACCAACATCAAACTTTACAACAAGGTGAGAAGGAAGCTGCTGGACATTTTGCTATAGTTATTCTGCATTCTCATCAGTTTATTGTTTCTCTCTTCGCACTTTAATCTGTTCTTTTCTTAAAACGTGCAGCTGACGTCATGCCTGGCTGAGGTGTTTTCCCAGCGCTGTGAGGTGAACAGGAAGGCCAGTGTGGGAGGCTGCATCATCAACACCTGTGGCTGGGTGAAGGGCTCTGGATACCAGGCTCTGGTCCATTGTGCCTCTGCCTTTCAGGTGGATGTGGTGCTGGTGCTGGATCATGAGAGGCTGTACAATGAACTCAAACGAGATCTCCCTCACTTTGTCCGGGTCGTGCTCCTACCTAAGTCTGGTGGGGTGGTGGAACGCTCCAAAGAATGCCGACGTGAGACTAGGGATGAGAAAATCCGTGAGTATTTCTATGGCTTCCGTGGAGTGTCCTTCTACCCTTTTTCCTTTGAGGTGCGTTTCTCAGACGTTCGCATCTATAAGATCGGGGCGCCATCCATCCCAGACTCATGCCTGCCACTAGGAATGTCTCAGGATGACACGCAGCTCAAGCTAGTGCCTGTGACACCAGGGAGAGACCTCACGTATCATGTGCTGAGTGTGAGCAGTGCAGAAGACGGAGAGGAAGGGGCAAGAAAGGATATAGTGGAGAGCCCTGTGTGTGGCTTCATTGTGGTGACAAATGTGGACACGCAAACACAGGTAATGAAAGTGCTGTCCCCAGCACCCAGACCACTGGCCAGACACACGCTGCTTATCATGGACATCCGCTTCATG